AAGTAATTTAATTACTAACTTTCAGTATTAAATTGGCTAATATTATTATAAATTGGATTTCTGTAAGAAATGTATTCGAATATACGTATTTTAATTTATACATGTATATAATTTAATAACTCAAATGACGTAATATACAGGTAGAATTCTATCCTAAATCCTAAATTACAGATTATCTAAAGCAAACCTTTACTCCTCGCTCGAATTTAATATAAATAAATGTATCCGATGTAAGACATTATTTTGTTTATATATTTACTCGAGTATCCATTGATACATGGTGAAATAACAATTTGTAGCAAAGAATATAAGGCTTAAAGCTGTGATCAGACTAGAGATTGAGATTGAAATTGGATTGGAATTATACTAACCAAAAGAAAAAAAATCAATCTTAAGTTTAGTGAACTATACTTTGATTGATTAAATTTCGATATCTCAATCTCAATCTCTAATGAGATCACGGCTTAAGCCACACTAGCGATTGTGATTGACGATTGCTAAATTACTTTTTAACCAATTAGAGCAAAGTAGTCGTAAATCACGATTGTGCAATCGCTAATGCAATTACGACTTTATGCCGCTCTCAATACATGATTTGTATATGTTATATACGGATTTTAGAGCAATTACAAGCAAATGAGTCAGCGTGAGCCATATTGCGAACCCTTACGATCGAAAATCCATTAATTTCGCATTCACAGCGTACGATGCCTTAGTTGAGCATGATATCGTACATGATAGTGTTTACGTCGCACAGGCATGCATGAATGTTCCAAACAAGTTCCGTCATAATCCAAGGTGGCGAAGACGCGTCATAGCTCGCCGAATCGTGGCGATTTAAATTTATCTATTCATGGGAAGGAAGGAGCAAAACCCGTTTCTCCTATTACGATCTGTGATCTTTCTGGAAATATTTAAGTCTTTTTACGTATGTATATGCTAAACTCGGCTATTTTTGTCGCTGCGTTAATATACGATATATATTATACATTCGTACATTCACATAAAGTGAAGTGATACAATTGTAAACGAAATAAAATTTGACTCCGATTTTCGAAGTTGAAGTTTGATTTTTTCCTGTTTGATATACATCCTCTTCACACAATGAAAAGTTTATACACAGAAAAATACTGTAAGTAATATAATTACTTGTTTCAAAAATAAAATTCTAAAAAAAAATTTATATCCGCAAATCTATCATAAGTTCCATCACAAGTATTAAATTTATTTGAAATATATTTTGAATCTTAGTTAGGTAAGTTTAATGCTTCAATCAAGATTAAGTTAAAACAAATTCAATTACCTATTATATATAAAGTTTGTTTCTTCAATTATTTATATATATTGTAATATTCTTTAAAAGAAAATAATTCTTGTTTTGAATACATAATTAGTTTTTGTAAAATTTATAATATAAATATATTTTAAGATTATTATCAAGAAAATATTCTGTATTGTAGATTGCTTAAAAGAAAAAAAGTAAATTCGAATTTTAAAAATTGGATTTAAATTTGATTTCGTTTAAAATTGTATCACCTCTCTCTCACCCTAATCATGCAAATTTTTATGAGTCTATGTGACAATTTGCTTGAGCTAAATCTATTTTGGTAAACAAAACGTTTCGGTTTACTTTGATCTGTATAAAAAATGGAGGCAATCAAAGAAACTGGGATTAGTGTATATTTGCTGTCACTAATAAACATCCATTCCAAATAGAATAACAAGTCAAAATGATGTTAAAATGAATCGTAACTGATTGAAAAGTGACTTTTAGTAACCACTTTGGAGCTATTTTTATATCATTTTGATGTCATGATGATTCATGTATTTTTTTCTACTCGTAATATATTTTAAATCTGCTACATATATCATAGCTGTACCTTAAACTGCTGTCAAAAAAAAAAAAAAAAACGCACCGGAAGGAAGTCGGCCAATTTCATCATGGTGTATTATAAATGTGTTTAATTACCCGTGAAATATATACGTCGTATTTTTTGTTGAGGGGAAACTGGTTTCACGTCGACCAAAAGATCGATTTTCGCGCTACAATAACGTACTAATAAAATGCAAGATACAATCTTTATATGTATAATATATCTTCTACATTTCACGCGCGCAACGCGTATGCATTCTTTTGTGAGTCATTGATAACTTAATAATAATTTGCGATACCCGCGAGACCTCATATCGCGTGGAGTATGAAAGCATCGTCGGTCTGCCTTCTATTATGAAACATTACGAGGCACCACGAATCGAGCAACGTCGTAGCCCCGGGCTGGTGAAAAGACGGTTGGGGATGGAAGGGGGAAGGGATTGGGCGAAGAAAGCAAAAAGCCATTGTTGTTCGGAAGAGGAAAGTAGCATGCGGATTTTGCAGCCACAACGTGGCTGGATTTGGAACTGATACCTCAGCCCTTAACGCTTCTATTTGCTTGACCTCCGGCCACCCTGCTTACATGTTAAACCGGGTGCAGCTGCACTTGTGACCGCGCAACCTTTCCTTTCTACTCCGGAGTAGTATCATTCATCCGGTGCTAACCCAAGAGCAAGATGCTTATTGCTTTACGGCAAGGCCCATGGCTCATTCAGACTCCAGCACTGCGAACCGTCGGAGAAGCTCCTGATAAAGAAAAAGGTCCATTCCTTGCACCATGCTGTGCTCTCTTAAAATGAAATGAATAAATGGAACGTAATTAAACGTTGGGAAGAAAAAGAAAGAAAATTGAAAGTTTACCTGCTCGAAACAAATTATTCATATTTCTATACAAATTTCATGGGGATATTCTACGAAAATTATTTATTTATTAAGAATGGACGGCAAATACAAGAAAAAATTCTTCGAAACAGGTAGTCGAACAATTTAAAAAAACTGAAAGAGCTTTGAATCTAAGTCTGAAGAAACTGTAAATAATTTAATGAATATTCATTTAAAGTAGAAATTCTTTTGAGAAATAAAAAGGGAAAGCTTTAAACCTTCTTTAATCTTTAACTATCTTAAAAGGCAAAGATCACTTTTAAAATCTTACAGTTTTTCTTTGAATAAATTTGTCATAATTCATTATTGTATTCCTTGATTCAAAATATAAAACTGTTTCAGTATCACTATATAGTAGTGGTTTTCCCGTACTGTAAAACTTAAATATGTGAAATTAAATTCGAGAGAGAATTTGAAAAGTTTTCAAATAAATTTTTTAAAAATTAAATGTATATACGTATCAAGACATTTACGTTGAGACATTCAGATTCTCGAACGCGTATATGACACAAGAAAAAATTTGTAAAATTTCGGCTTAATCTCGAATCGATACTTCATATCGTTTATCTTTGACAATGAGTGCGATAAGAATGATCTGGGTTATTAAATGTTTATGAGATAAGCTAATTTTGAGACAGATGATCATATTTAAAAGACAATGTTCATTATTAACGTTGTTGTTTACAAATCGATGTTTTGTTTCAGGAGGCGATGTGTTCACTCTGGTAAAAATTTTTCTCAAAATTTTTTATATAATTTTTCAGAATTTCTGTATAATTTTATAACTTTCTCACATTTTTTTATACGAATTGGAACATTTCTTAGAAAATCTACATCGCTTTTCTCAGAATTTTTCATATATGTTAATTATGAAATATTGTAAGATTTTTAAAATATTTTGTAAATATATAATTTCTGATGAAATGTTATAAAACCTAAACAATTTAAAGATACTTTTTAAAAATTATGAGATAAGAACTTTCAGAATTCACTTGTATGAAAAATTCTGAGAGATGTAAATTTTCCGAATATTTCTGAGTATTCTGAAAAATGTTCCAATTCATATAAAAATTATGAGAAAAATTTTCACCAGGGTATTATTAATAGATTTATAATTTATTGTTTATTCTCTAAAATTTTTTAAGTAAATGTCATTCTGAAGAGTAAAATCTCATTTTTAACGATTGAAAATTAAGCCATTCCTTTTCACTTTTAAGAGTAAAATTTCACTCTAGAGAATTTAGAGAGTGTAACCATTACAAATCAATGTTTATGTTCGCAAACATATTTTGTAAACATAAACGATTTTCGATTTGTATTTTTTTCGTCACAAAGGCCAACACCAATTAAGCCGGAGACTCTTTAAGACGTATGACTGTACGATGGCTCGACGATTTTCTTATCTTCGATGCTGTCATCCCGTTCGGTTGATAGCGACGGCTTATATTTCAGCACCGTCAACACGGACTCTTGACGCTGAACAATGCCGGAGTAGAGTGACAATGGGATGAAACGCTGTCAATACGCGACGATGAGTAAGTATTGCCAGCGCTATGATATAATGGCCGTCGCCGCAGAATTATGTACGCCTCTCGAGAAGGCGATAAAATCACTCGTTATTGCGTAACGTAAGAGAAGCTCATAGAATCGTTACGTCTTCCTCTTTTTCTCTATCTTTCCCTCTTTAGATATGGTCATTTAAATTTACGACGATTGGGGTCCGGGTCATGAATGCGAGTGATATAATTAATTAGAGTATGGAATTTTCACGCGGTCGAAAGGGACTCTCATTGACATTAACGGTGTCAAATGACGTATGTAGATGTTAACGTACGCGTATGAATCAAGTGGAGTGTTTTAAACGAAAGAAGAATATTCATATTTCGTTGTCAATAGTTTTTAAAACTAAAGCAAATGAGTCACTTTGAAATGGATGAATTTGAAAACATGAGTCAACTTTGAAACCTTCCTTGACGTCTACATATTTATATTTTGTTTGACAAATTTATTGTAAAGCAAATTAATAAAGTCAACGGCTAAAATGAGCTGTGAAGGGTGTTATAAATCAATTTATTTTTTAGAACATTAAATAGAATGACAAAAAAGTTACAACTTTACTGAGTCTTCATTAGTTTAAAGGTAAACTTTTCTAATTAATAAATATATACCTGTCAATAAATTAAATAAGCTTAGCTAATATAAATATGAAACGCAAAAAATATGTTTTAGTAATTAAAGATTCATATCCGTGAATGAAAATTTATTTGAAAACAGTCATATAGGAAATAGTCATACAAAACTTAATTTAATTCAAAAGTAATCGATAAGAAACAATTATCTGCCTTTATCGCCAGATAATTGCTAAAAATGATAATTGCTTATCATCTTTATCTCGACGAGGTAGGTTCATAATGTGCCCGTCATTTAGATCCGAAAGCGTTTCTTGACAAGAAATGCGCATCAACGGAAATGCCATTCAACGCATGGTTTTCTTCCATCGTGATTGAAACAGGGCGTTTCTCATAGGCCGCGTTCAGCAGAAAAGCAACTTTGCAACTATTATAAAATTCTTTAATATAATATAAGTCTTGCCGTTAATTTCCTGCAACTAAACCAATCATATAAAAGAATCTTACACAAATGAATCACAAATGATCGCAAGACTGTATTTTTCTGCTAAATCCAGGATTTCAAGACGTCGTCGTGGGGTTCGTAGTCCCGCTAGGCACATCCCTGAACAGCGCGGCGCAGCCGTGATTCAGGCCGGCCAGAGTTCACCGTTCACATCCGCCGCGCCGCAGTTGGCAGCAATGCGCCGCGCCGAGTCAGTGCTCAATGCATCGTGCGACGGATAACAACGTTGGGGTTTGGTGTAGATAAAAAGCGGTTTCGTTGTCTCGCAGTCATCGTCAGTCATCGTCTCGCAGCGTCGATTCGGTACGATCCGAGCGAGAACGCTCCTTCCTCTACGACACGGGATAATCACAAGGCACAAGCCAGCTTAGCCAGCCGCCGATATTCGAGCCTCGAGCCTCGAGCCATCGAGCAAGCGCCGTCGCCGTCGGGTGCATCGCCGCTGTTTCCTCCGATCCGCTTCTCCGCTTGCCGCGGTCGTCACTCGTCACACGTCCCCCGCGATGCATCGCGCGCATCGTGCCCGCGACGGAGCCGCGATCGACGCGCGTTGTTGGGCGTAGCCGGCGGCAGCGAGAAACGGCACGACGGCACGGGTCTGTCTATCTTCATGCGTGCGTAAACCGTCCCGGAACGTGTCGCTGCCATTACGAAGTGCGAGCGTCGGGTGTGTGTCGCTGTGCCTAGTGCCTCGTATCCTTGTATCGGTGAACGGTATACTCGTGCTCGCTGGTGTTCAACATTTCATACGAAAGGGAGATACAAGAGATAGACGACGGGACGATACACTTCTCTCCTCCTTCTTCTCCGTCCGTCTCTTTCGCTGTTCGCACTCCGTCCCGACTCCCGGTCGCGGCGAACACGTTCCTACGCGTCGTCGCTGTGAAACTCTGAAACTCGACTCGCCTAGACGGCCAAGATCGAACGACGGCAGGCTGTGGCATGTCGGTAGCATCGTAGCTCGGGATCCCGGATTCGAGCGCGAGGTGAGTGCCAATTGACGTCGACGCCGTCTTTGACGTTTACGTTACGTTTACGTCGCGTCGCGTCGCATCGCGTCGCTGTCGCTGTCGCGCCGTAGCGTGGCGTGGCGCGGCGCGGCACGGCGAGGCGAGGGTAATTGATTCCGTCACGAAGAACGGCGCGACAGCGACCGGCGACGGGGGTGTGGATTTTCCAATGTTCTGTCAACACGCACGAGATCGACAGGAAGCTCGTTCTCGCGAACATGGCACACCCATCTCGCTGCGCGGGCGAGCGCGGAGCGAGCGAGCTGGTAACGCGAAGCGAAGCGGAGCGGAGCGGAGCGGCGGTGATGGTGCCAGGAGACGCTCGCGCGGCGCGGCGAGACGGAGAGGCGGTACAGCGCTTAGATCGAAATCGCAAAAGATCACCACCGTCGTGGATTCTGCGTTGCGAGGAAACAGCATGCGATGATTATATTGTTAACAGTGATCAATCGAATATTTGCAAGCCGCGTGTTTTTAGATTTTGATGCGACAGCACGCGAAAATTGTCCTGTGTGCGTGCATGTTGTTGATCCGTTACATATTACTGTCTTTTAGACGTTGAAGAGAGATGTTTAAGATGTAATTGTTAGGTAGCTATTATTATTATTAATGCTACGTGCACGGAAAAGAATGATCTTGTCAAAGTGTCTAAAAATTTGACTAGATATAGATTTGAAGTAATTTTATTGGACTTAGAAAATAATTACGTAGGAATCGCAAGCATGCTGAGCAATGTTGCAAAACGTTTTGACATTCTTCAGTTTCAGCGTCTTATATAATTATTTTGATGGTCTGATCAAGTTATTTTTAGAGTTGTAGCTAATCTTTTAAATTCTTCAGCAAAATTGTTCTTCTTGCTTTCTACCAGAACTATCCTGATTATGCCTATATACATGTATTGAAAAAAAATGTTCTAATTCTGATTAAACTAACGCGCGAAAGGATCTAACAAGAGGATTGCCATACAACTAGAAATCAGAGAAATGTCACGGAAATTGAAAGCAGTCTGGAGAATCAGGGAAAAGTCACGGAATTTTGCAAAACTTTCTGGAAAATAAAAATTCTTGGCTTTAAAGAAGTTTAATATGCGTACATCACACCATTATGCTGTTTTGGAATATTATTAACTTAATAATTAAATGCAAGCAATGTCAGCAACATCAGTAATATTCTATCTATATTCTAATTAATATTTTAGCTATATTGAATTGTTCTCTCAATAAAATATTTAGTTTTCAAATCAGGAGGAAAATACGAAAAATTTCAAAATGTATATAAATGTATCAGAGAAAATCGTGAAATTTTGCTTGGAAGTCAAGAAAAAAATTATGGAATTTTAAAATTTGGTAATAATCCTAAAGAAGAGGCATTTTGATAAAAACTGAACAAATAACCAGAAATTTTGATCCCATTAAAATACCATTCTTGTTAGATCTTTTTGTTGATTTAATCAGAACATTTTTCTTAGTGTATATATTTGAAATAGTTCAGACGTGCATTATTATTATTATTGAATTATTTTAATTTTAATTTTTATTTGAGTAATCTGAATTTCATTGTTGAAAATAATGATCTTTATGTTGTTTACTTGTTGCGATAACTTTACAAACATTGGCGTAGCGTCGAAAATAGAAATTGCGAAGATTATTTTCAGATAATCGACGACGATTAGATTTACTTAATACTGATTTAACACTGTTCTGTTTGTTATTATAATTATATTCAAAAGATTGGTCATACTTACTCAATGAGAACAGCAGTTAAATTATAGAATGGTCTTTAAGATAGTACGTTTTGGATATGATAAATAGTATCACGTGCGTGATGAATGGTAGTGGTAGCGATAATTTATACAGTTATACCCAACACATCAGATACTATATTTTAATATTCGTCAAAAATAAATTCTATGAATTTTAACCGCTAATATATATATATATATATATTAAAGATGACAAAAAATTTCTTCGCATGTGAGGTTTCGCGACGTTGACGTTTAAGTTTCACGGATGCCGTCAGAAATGTCACGAGGTCAGACAGACAGACTTGTCGAGATACGTATCGCGAAATTCTAACTATTGTTGAAAAGTTATTTTTAAATTCTTTGAAATGGAATCTTACTTTAAAGAGTGAAAATTAAGTCAATCTTGAAAAAGAATGCAGACTCCATTTTCAATCTTTAAGAGTGAAATTTCACTCTTCGGAATAAGATTTTCTCTAAAAGTTTTAGAGAGTTAGAACTAGCTAGAATGGCCATCGATGAGGCATTGCAAGATGTCTAATCAATGATTTCTCATGCATTTCATTTTGCGAAGAAGATATGTGTGCATTAAGCAAATGGAACTTGATCTGCTTGAATATCAAACATCTGCGAATGTTATCTCTGTCGGTTCGAAGATTTCAATTTATAAATCTCAGTTTGATGTCTAAAATGATTTGACGTGTATAAATGAGGAAGATTTCAAGTTTTTTTTTTATAGACAGGTTTGGATCAGAGGCTTTCAATCCTTTCCCTGGTTACCACCTTACCTGTGTGAGATCTTTCATTCGTTCGGAACTATCTGATTTTGCATCGTTTCACGTTCTGCTTTACGTAAATCGCACGTAGAACGTTGGTTGCGTTCAGCAGAAAAAGCAACTTTGCAAATGTTTTAAGATTCTTTAAAGCGGTTACACTGTTAGATATTATAAAGAAGCAGTGATAATCCAATCCTTTGAGTTAAATTACATTTTGTTATTTTTAACTTCCATGTGTGTCGAGAGATGTAAATTAATCCATTTCTGTGATTATTTTCAAAATAAACATTATCTATGTTATGTGTATTTAGTAGATAATAAACTAAATTTAATACATTTTCTTGAGTTAAATTGTTCAACTCCACTGTTTTAATCAAATTAGCGATATTGGTAAGAGCAGTGACGACTTATAGAAATGGACTTTAAGAATAACTCAAATTGGATATAATTTGACATTTTATGAATTTAACAATTTACAATGAGATTTTAAGACATAAAATGGAAGCTTAAGCTTCAAGCTGAAAGAAATTTACCAATTATAGTCGATTATTCTCAGATTCTGGTCAATTTCTTACAATCTTCTTAAGGTTACATCAGCTTCAGTTTTATGCCTTAAAATTTCATTGTATACGTTGTTTGAGATCTAGTTCAGAACTTTGCTCTAAGGTTGTAAGTCGTAAAGCCGTAAGAAATTGACCAATACTCATAATCGATTTTTCTTCTCACATTCGACTGTGATTGGTCAATTTCTTACGCCTTGAGCTCTTAAAGCTTTTAGACTCGATTGCACCAACGTTAGTTTGACTTTAAGCGAAACTTAACATTCTTTCTTTCTTTTTTTAAAGCCGATAGAGAGAAAGGGAGCGAGTTTTAAGTCTCGCTTAAAATTAAAATAACGTTAGTGCAATCGGGCTTCAAAACTTAAGTTTACGCCTTAAAATTACAAACATTGCTTAATACATTACAAACGTTGCTTAAGGTCTAGTCCAAAACTTTGCTTTAAGAGGCCATAAGCCGTGAAGCTGTAAGAAATTGACCAATACTCATAATCCATTATTCTCCTCACATTCGACTGTGATTGACCAATTTCTTACGGTTTATGGCCACTTAGAGCAAGGTTCCAGACTAGACCTAATATAATAGACCTGATCGATTTTTATCCTTAGTTCCTTACTAGACCTAAATGTATGAATACATAAATCAGTCATAATAAAGAATCTTACTACGTTGCAAAGTTATTTTTTTCTGAACGCAACCATTGTCTCGTTTCGCGACGATAATATAATCATCCGCGAGCTTCTTCCGCGAACGTGTTGTGTCCTTCTATAAAAGTCTTTTATAAAAGGAAATCTTCGAATCACCACCTTGCAGTTTCGCGCGACTTTCTAGCGCAAGTTTCACACCTACGTGTGTGAAAACGCCCGCGTGTTAATTCACGCTTCCAAAAGTCGTTAAAGCCACTCGGTCACCGACGCCAATTATTAAATCATCGAAGTGATTAGATCATCGTAATTCGCTTATAGCTAGTTGCGTTCATGCCCGCCTCTGCGTTC